CAAGACCGCTCTAAAAATACTGAACTCTCCTATTAAGGTTTGGGTACACAGACAAACATCTATTCAATAACACACTTTTAAAGACCTTCACGCCATTTTAATATTTACTCCCAACAAGGCAACAAGAAGGTGTGAGTTTTGATGAAGGCAGACAAGCTCAGTCAATAATCTTCCTCAGGAAATGTGGGAAAATAACTTATTGTAAACCTTTGCACCGATAATCTTTGATTCCACAGGGAGAAAACAGGGGTTGTGAAAGTCTTAAAATAACTCCATGAAGAGAAGAGTGGAAATTTGGCTCGAGCTTCGTTAGAAAAGATTATTCTGAAGTCTTGTAGATCACAAGAAACATTACAGGGTTTGTCTAAAGCCAGAAGAAATGACTCTGTGTAACAAATAGATCCGATGCCATCACACATACATGCACTCACAAGTATACAAAGAATGGAACACACTCCAACATGCACACACACACACACACAACTGTGTTAAAGCCAAATGAATGAGCCGGCTCTCCTCAGGCCTAATAGTCCCGCTGTAATTAACATTGTCACAGCGATAATAACCATTTATGCCTGACATATCCCACACACACACACACACACACACACAACTGTCCAAAAACCTCCATCTTGTCCAGGCAGCTCGCCCAGCTGTCACCTCCCTCGTCTGTCTCCTTCTCCCTCCCACCTCCCCTCCTCTTTCTCCTCCTCCTCTCTGTCAGTATTTAGACCTCACGATCCTTCTTTTTTCCAACGTTCACTCTCCGCCTCCCGTCCTCCTGTCTCCTTTTCCTCCTTTCCTTTCTCTCACTTCCTTTTCAAATATTCAAAAAAGAGGGTGGAGCCTACAGGAGTTCAGCAGGATGCCAGGTAGGTTAAAAGGTTACAGGCAGCTAACAAAGGGAACAGACACAGCAGGCAGAGAGTCCTTGTTCAGGCAGGTGATGTGTGCAGACACACAAAGCATCCAGGGATACATTCACTGAGGTCAGCTGACTAAAAATAACAAAATATTTTGGTTCTTTAGTCATTCCCCATCACAGTATCAATAAGTGAGATCTTTGCCCTCTTGAGGGTTGGCAACACATCCGAACACTAAGAGAAAAAGATCCCACACGCCTGCAAGACTTAAATTACACCAGAAGTCCTTTTTCATCATTCAAACCGAATCATCCAACAAGAACATGCGCCACAACTTTCATCCCTTTTAAATTTCATGATTCAGCTCCCGTGGCAGCAATTTTCATTTGGCCTCCTAGTTAACTTCAGTCAATTCAATACCAATTGGCACCACTGGCTTTCTTTTGAGAGTGCTGAATAAAATGTGCATTTCTTTTCAGATGTTTCTTTAGTTAAACCCTCAAAAACAAGCCTACGGGCGTTTAAGCATCTCCCGACTCTCTGTGTCCGTAGACGTGAGAAGCTGCTGCCTCATTGATGTTGCAGCAGTCTGCACATTACAATGAAAGTCTTAAGTGAACAGTATTGACTGGCTGCTGAATCACAATACCAGTTGAAGTTGAGGTTCATTTACTTCAACGGGGCCAATTGGAAACACACGTCATTTCTACATCTTCTCTTAAGTGACTCCAGGAAGAGAGAGCGAGGGAGACCAACGCTCGTAAAAGTATCGCTCGTAGACGTTCCACTCGACGACAGCCGGCATAAAAAAGTAACAACTCAAAGTGCTTTTTTTCCTCTCTGGGCTTCAGAGCATTAATGTGGCATCACATAACTGTTTGGCCGGATGGACGTCAAGGAGCGACGTCTCCCTGGTCAGAGAACCAAGTCACTCCCCCCTAGTCACCCGCTCGCTTTCATCACTAGCCAAGTGTGCCGAGTGCAAATACTTGGACCTCTTGTAACTCTCGTATACTGTATGTTCACTCTGATGAACACACGATTTAGTACTTCACTGCTTTGCTTTGAATCTGTTTCTTTTCTATACAATAACTTTTGTCCCCGTTTTTATATTATATACACGTGCACATAGATAAACCACATGATTACATAATGACACAAGTTCCTGGTCCGGATAAAATGTTCTGCCTGTTACTGGAGGGTATTTGTTTGATCCTAATGAAAAATCCATTTGCCCCATTAACAGTTTCTCCAAAGCTAATTGGTAAATCCGTCGATTGATGAAGTGGCTTCAATGTCTTTTCTATCTCTTTTGATGGCTTCAGATGGGATGAAGTAGATGTTCATGATGCAGCGCTATGCTGTAGCACCAATGGACCACTTCAAATAGTGGTAATATTGTTAGGCTATGTGAATCCATTGGGAAATTACATTAGCCAATCATTTTTAATTCCTGAGTCAAATGGGATGACATCAACGTACTTCTGAAATGTGATTTATGTACCAAATTGCTACTGAGTAATAAAATAATAAAACCTGTGATGCTGTGATAACAGTAGACTAATTGCACATGACTCCTGCAAAAGGTCCACTTGCATCCACACCTTATGCAAGTGGACCATTAGTATTTAGTATAAAGTGCCTCCAGCATGACGCCCAGCATAGGTATACGTGACACATAAAAAGCATGCAATTGTGTAACAATTGTGCCAAACTGGATCCATCTACCTTTGACTCATTTAACCATGAAAATAAAGATCTCAGTCATCAGTGTATTTCCCAGCATTTACCGCTCTGTAAGAAGAACTCTCCTGATTGGTTTCCAGACAATTGGTTTTGGATGAAGAGGTCACAGCCAGACCAAAGGGAGACTCTAGAGTCGCATACGTTCCGAGCCATTTCCCCCCAATGAGAAACTTGACAATTTAAAGAATGAGCAGAAAAGTGCATTTGTTTTAGTGTGTGTATGTGTTACGGCCTTTGTGCATTTACCGCAAGCACAGTCAGAGATTAGTGGCAGCAGTACTTCAACTGGAAGAGCTGTGTGTGTGTGTGTGTGTGTGTGCAAGAAAGAGAGAGGGATATAGACCAACAGACAAGTAGGGCGAGACTGAAAGAGAACTGCTTACACGCTCTCGTTGTCACAGTTGCTATAGAATTTGTACAGAAGAGCAAAATGCTCCAGTTTTTTCCACTGTCAACTCTTTACAATCCTCTGTCTGTATGTCTGTGTGTGTGTGTGTGTGTGTGTGTGTGAGGCACCCTGCGTGTGTTCCTGTGATGGGTGGTCTCGCTCTAGTTGCTTCACTTTAAGTCGCACACATTATTTACAGGGCACACACACACACACACACACGTGGATAAGCTTCATTGAAAAGAACGGATGTTTCCTGGACTTTTCTCTCTGCAACATGCACACACAAACAAATGTGTCAGCGCACACTGGATGCATACGCGCAGACCTTTTTTCATGCACTCGCTCATGCATGCACGCTGGCACACAGGGCCCTGCAGACCTCTGGTTCATTCATACATAGCGACGTTTGACACACCGGACCTAAGCATGCACACACCTCCTCGCAGCTTATCTCACAGCAGCTTTTAAAGGCAGTGGGGAGCCGCTTTGTTGACGAGCCACTTAATAATTCCCTCGGACAGGCGTGAGATTCTCTTCTTTTCTCCCTCTTGTCTCTCCTTCTGACTCCTTTGCTCTCGCTCTAATATTCTTCACCTCGCTGTTTTTACCGGGGGTTTTTCATTTTTGCGCAATTCCTTTGCGCCCACTCCTCCACTGTTTCTTGCTCCCTGTCGGCTCTCTATTACTGGCGACGATGGTCTGTTTGTTTGTCGGCCGGTTTTCATTCATTCAACCTGCAATCGGATCCCTTCGTACGAGATGTCTCGTCATTGGCCGTTCTCTCTCTCCCGCTCCTCTGCGAGTCGGCTCAATTATGATTAGATAAGGACATAATTCAATTACTTTTCCATCCTCATTAGAGATGCTCGTTCTCCAACAGCGGCCAGTGTTCAATGCCGGTCAGACAGGGGGGGTCACGGACCCGTGCAAATAGACGGCCAATTACTTTTCCCCGTGCCGGTGTGTCCTTCTGAAGGAAGTGTGGAGGCCCTCTACTGTCCTGCGTAGATGTCGCATTAGCACATTATCATTTTTTCTACTTACTTAGAATGAATTGCCTGCTTGTTGTTTCTTTTTGGCTGTGGTGCAGATAGCAGAGATGTAAACGTTATGTTAGCACGTTAGCATTTAGGCTACATACCAACGCAAACACACCCCTCCTCTTAGAGTCTTTCATCCCTCCATCGCACACATCAGCAGCATTTTATTTTCAGGCGAGGCTGTGCGCTGTTTAAGGAGGGAGAATAACACAATAAGAGTCTCTGTGCACGAGAGAGAGACATCTCATTAATTAAAGGTCACAGTGCTTTGTGGTATTAGCAACGTTGTCCAACTCTTTATTGTGTTGATGTTCCTATCTTGTTTGGTGTATCTGTACCCTGATATGCTATTTATTATTGTGTGTTTATGTAGGATTCTATACACAGTATGTGTAACTGTGAATGTTGAAATGTACTTTTATATCTTTTTATGGTTTTCCAACTCTGTCACTCACAAAATGATGTTCCTATACAATTAAACAGCATTCTCAATCAAGGTTCAAGGGACCTTTACTTATAATGGATTGTTTTGTCATTGTTGTGTGTGTGTGTGTTTGTTTGTGCTCTTTCTGTTGGAAGGATCCAATCAAATGTAATTTTGCTGATTACATTAATTGTGAGATTTATAATCGTCTCATTTTCTCTCTCTCTCTCTCTCTCTCTCTCTCTCTCTCTGTATGTCTCTCTCTCTCTCTCTCTCTCTCTCTCTCTCTCTCTCTCTCTCTGTATGTCTCTCTCTCTCTCTCTCTCTCTCTCTCCCTGCTGTAAAACGTCCCCCCTGTCTGTGTTAATTCCTCCCTCTCCTTCTGAATCTTTTAACATCTCCAGTCACGTCTTCTTAGGACATGATTAATTAATACAGATGCATTTAAACAAATGTTGAGTTACCTCTCATTCAGAACAACAGCATAGCGTTTTATCTTCAAATAAGCTTTTCTATTCTCCCTTTTCTGCCCGTAGGACACAGAGGTGTTGAACACAGCCATTCTCACCGGCCGTCGCGTCGCGGTGCCCATCAAACTGGTTACCGTGGAAACCGACGGGCAGGTGAGGGAGGTGGACGACTCGGTCACCTGCACCTCGACGGACGTGAACGTGGTCAAGGTACGCGTTTATGTATATATGTATTATTATGTATGTGTCACCTTTAACATTAGTTGCTAGTGATTGAATTTATTTAATGCACTTACAGACACACAGTCGCTGATGTAGTTATAAAACCAGGCAGACATGCACAAACAACGATATGTTTAAATAGATACCTTACATCGATGATTGGTCTGCATTGCGGTAAAGTAAACTCGCTGGTGTTGTGATTGAAAATCTCAGGTAAGTGAAATATGGATAAAGAAATCATTTCTCAAGAGTTGGAGAAAAACAACTGTTTAAGCGGCAGGGTGGAAATCACAATAATGTGAGGAAGTAAACGTGGGGTTATTTTTACACAGCAAGTAATCATCCTGAATCATCATCATACTTTAAAATCTTTAAGGATTTGTGTTTATTTCTAATTCACTTTGTGCACTGGAGCATAATGGGACACTTATCACAGTATGCTGGATGTTTCAATCACTTTCTGTTTACTGAAAGTTGTACGGGGGCAACTTTTCATTTAATAGGCAACCTCGAGGGAACTGAAGTTCTTCATATTAAGTTCAGTGTGTTTTTAAAGTAAAGCAGCATAACAATCCGCGTCGGGCACAACACTGGTTTCCCATTGGACGAGAGCTCGACCCCAGCTGTGACATCACCAAGCCGAAAGGAGGGGGGAAAAAACCGTTGGTTCCTTAAAGAAAATGTCCCAGAGGTCTTTTCACCCCATTTTATATGTTAATAGCCAAATTCGGCCCTGCCAGATGCAAACATCTGATGCTTGGTTGCATCAAATAATAAGTATGACATTCAGCTGATCAAAAGTGCCCTGTGGTATTTCCGTGTAAACAGCTTGTTTACATTCAGCGATGCTGGCCAAAACTCACCCCGTGTAACCTGAGGCCAGACAAATACTACTTTTTCTTTAAAAAATCTGCACTCTTTTTCACATGGTTGCAGTCCTTTGAGTTTCAACGTGCACACGAAAGCTCAACAGAAATGCCGCGACAGTGAATAAAACTGAAACACATTCAAGAAAACACCTTAGCAGAAACAAACAGAAGATTGATTCTTGTTGTAGCCACTTCTCCTCGGTGCCCTCCGGGCCGGTAGTCAAACACGCCTTGCGACAGCTTCCATATGAGGCCAATTCGCCGGTACAAGCCGACACCAGTCGAGCTGTTTGAGTTCGATCAATGGCGACGCAGCGAAAAATGCAGTGAATTCATTCAGATAGATGTAATGTTAGCTGTCTGGGTATGTGTGTATGAAAGAGTGTGTACGACACACACACACATCATGTTTAATAGATGCCTGCATCCACGCTAGGTCAATAATTTACATCAACAATAGCCTTTGAATTATGCTGTGCATTTTGGGTAAAGCATTTAAAACATTCATCATTGAATATCTCAGTATGTGTTCGGCTGAGCAGCTGTGTCTGGGAGGGGGAGGGAGCGGGGGGGACCTGCGTTGACATCCACCAAAAGTTCCGCCTGCGCGGCTTTGTAAACAAAGCTCAGATGACAACAAACACCGAGTCCCTTCCTCCTCTGCTCAGGTAAACATCACACTGCGGTGAGTCTTTACACAGCAAATAGCCGCTCGCTGCAGTAGTGATGCACGTATGCTGATGTGCAGGAAGTGTCGATTGGGAAAGCAGCATCAAGCGTGCTGAACGCATGATAGGCGGGTGTCGTTGGTGGGAGACAGAAGCCGCGTATAGCGACCTGCAGCCAGCCGTGAGTTGTTTGTTTGTTTGTGTGGAAAGAGGAGTGATGATCAAGTGTGAGCAAACTGCTGTTTGTTGACACCTGATGTGACAGATATTGCCTTTCTTGTCTTTCATTAAACACACACACACACACACTCAGGGAAGCATCAACACAGCCGGCTTTTTGACGATGGGACCCACGGGGTGCAGACCCATGCAGCTCTCATTGAATCACAGTGACAGCTGTTAAGTGCAATAACGCGAGCCTCTGTTACACTTTACAACCCCCACCACCCCCACAGACACACACACACACACACAATGACACACGCACCACCCTCTGCGGCCTGATCTTGAGTTGATTTCACCACACCTGTCATGATGATGCCGTCCCTCACCGGGCGTATAACAGTGAGGCCAGTCAGCAGGAGAAGCGAGAAGAAGCCTTCAGTATCATTCGTGTCTGCTGTTCTGCCGCTTCGCCATGGTTACCTAAACATGGACTTAGAACATGGGAACAATACCTGCGCTCTTGTCACAGCTGGTTACAAACACCACCAAGTGCTATATTTACATTAAAAAAGTTTTTTCCATAATGACGTTCATCTTGAACCGCAGCGTGTGGCGTTTCTCCAGAGCAACAGTACATTTGTCTTTGGAGCTTATTATTCACAGAGCAACATAAACTAAATCAATGAACCTGTGCGTTCGTTTTTATAATTATTTATAGATCCGGGCGCCGGCAATAATAAAAAGCATTGAGCCAGAGAGGAGATTAACGGGGAATTAAGGAGCGACTGCAATTTTCTTGTTTTTTTTTTTACTTTTGCATTCCACTGTTGGTTGATTCTTAAACCTTTAAGAAGTCGAAGCTCTTGAAAAACACGGTTATTCTGTGGAAATCAACAGTCTAACGGCAATTGCTTTGACATTCCATTTACCAGCCTTTTGTTTTATTACTCATTGTGGATGAATGCCAATGAACACTTATAAAAAAAATATATAATAAAACGACCGGCTGTAGATTTCAATAATGCATCTTGTGTTTTCTCCGTTTAGTCCATTTATCGCTGACAACAACATAAGCAGCAGTGATGTACTACATAGATAACAACCTCCCCCCTCTCCTCCCGCCCTCCCCCGCTCTCCCCTGTGCGTGCAAACCGTCTCGTGATGCTGTCATTAGTGATGCGCGTGTGCGCCGCTATTGTTGACAACGCAGTACGTGTAGGTCGGACGTGTCACAGCCGGTAGGGGACGGACAGGGGACAAGCGCACACATACACTCAAATTAATACCATTATCCTGACCTCACGCAAGCCTCTCTCTGACACAGCAAGGAGGTGAGAGGAGGAGGTGGAGGAGGAGGAGGAGGAGGGACGTGACGAGGAGCCGCGAGAAGATGACGAATCAATTGGGTAACGAGAGGAGATGAGACGAGAGACCTGGAAAGCGGGTTTGAAAGACACAAGCCGACATGCAGATTAGTTTCCCCTTTTAGCTTTAAAAGGACAAAAAATATCAGTAGAGACCAGAAGGCGTAAAAAGCCATGGGAGCAGATTGTGAGAACAAAGGAGGGGAGGCCACACACGGAACTAAAGTAACAGATATCTGAAGCCGGAGCTCCCTGACTCGGCCTTCTCGGGAAGCGGTGACACAACACACACTTGGACACGCGCACAACCACCAGTGATGTAATGTGAGTCCATAAACCCTTTCTCTCATAATGCATTCATTGCTCTCACGCGCACACACACACACACACACTGATCATCTCACAGAGACACACACAGGGGTCGAGCGGTAATTGGTTAGTGGGGGGATTCCTTTAGTGATGTCGTCAGTAATTGAATTTGACAAAGATGACAGAAACGCTCTGAAGTAATGGAGGAGGGTGTGTATGCGTGCATGCGTGTGTGTGTGCGTGTCTGAATGCACGTTTGAAAGAGGTTTTGTGCGCGTGTTTCTTCACGTGTTTGGACAGACACGAGGCAGATTAAGAATTGATCCGTGTGGCATTTAATGAACCAGTCTCAGACTTTGACACGCGCACATGCGTGCACACGCGTGCACACGCCTCTCTGTCCTCGACAGAGGCGCCGTGCGCTTGTACCACGGTGTCTTTGTCACAAAGCATTTGATGAGAAATGCAAAAAGGCGTCCTTCGCATTTGAAAGACCAGCGGCGGGTGTTTTACCTTCACTGTCCGAGTCAAACGCTCATTTTAGATCAAGTTCCAGTTTGATTGGCAGGTTCTGCTCAACGACGGATGCTCCAGTGATTCATCGGTAAACTGGTGAACACACCAACTGTTGCACTCCTCAAACTTCTATTTCCCGCTAGTGGGTTTGAAGTTTGTGGCCTCGCATGGTTTGAAGTTTGGGAACGACTGAAGTGAAACAGTTTTCGTGGATCTGCGGGACAGCGGTTAAGGGAAGTGCTTCATCATAGTTTGAGGTAAGCGGCCATCGATCAATCAGACGCCGGTTCTCTGAAGGTCATGGAGTTATTCTTGTAGATGAAGGTGGTGGAGCACATCACATTTACAACACAGGGAGGGACACATTATTCAAAGCTGAGTCTGCATCTCGTCGCTTCACCTGATTGTGAAAGAGGGGGACGAGTTGAGCTGAGAAGAGGGAGAGAGAAACGGGAATCCCTGAGGGCCGCCGGGGGGGCGGAGCTGCTTTTTAGTTTTGGTTAATGTGATGTTCTGGGTTGGGATATTAGGCTTCACGGCGATTGGCTGTTTGGCTTCACGGCGATGACACAAAAAAACTACTTCTGGGAGGTGCGTGGAGATGGTATGTATGAAATACGGTGGACGACGCTGTGGTTGTTTATACAGCACTAAGAAACTACTTTTGAATTAACTATACAATAACTACAGAGTTAGCGTTTGGCTAACAGGATTTGATGATTGATATATGCCGATGAAGGTTGGGACACCCACGTCATGTGACCTGCAGTACCAAGCTTGCTCGAATGTTATTGGAGTATGATTAAAATGGGGTGGGACTTATAGAGGGTGACCCACAGGTGGCGAAGGCCTCCTGGTAACTTATATTAGTCCATACATTGTCCTCTGTCGCACTATGTGGGTGCATTGGGGCAGAAAAATGACTTGTGCAATCTGAGATGTGCACAAAATATTGATTTAGGAAAAAAGGAAAGCTGTTAAGGAAACATATCATGTTACCATCAGCGCTGATAAGACTCCCTTCTTCTGCAGGCTTCTTTAAGCTGCTTTTTCTGACACCAAATCAATCTTTTCCCTCTGGGCTTAACAATACTTTC